CTCAGTGCCTGATGGTAGGCAACTTAGTTTGGTCCAGTCACCTACTTTGGCCTTTGGGAGAAAACATATTGGGGCCAATCCTGATAGGGTTGCCAACTCCCGATGGGAAATTCCTGGAGATTTGAGGGATGGAGCCTGAAGAGGGTGAGGTTTGAGGAGGGGTGGGACCTCAGACAGGTACAATGCCATAGACTCCACCCTCCAAACCACTCAGTCCCTCATGGGGAACCATTGTTGCCAATCTCCAGGTGAGGGCTGGAGACCGCTCAAAATTACAATTGCTCTGCAGAAGGGAGGGCGGAAGTCAGCTGAAGTCAAAGGGGCAGATAATGGTAGGTTGATGGTTAGCTGGGAAGGAGATGGGGTTGCCAACTCCAGGCTGGCAAATTCCTGGGGATTTGAGGGGTGGAGCCTGGAGAGGGTGGGGTTTGCGGAGGGGTGGGACCTCAGACAGGTAGAATGCCATAGACTCCACCCTCCAAACCAGCCATTTCATCCTGGGTAACAATTGTTGCCAATCTCCAGGTGAGGGCTACAGATCACTCAAAATTACAACTGCTCTTCAGGGAGCAGAGATCAGTTCCTCTGGAGAAAACAGTGGACTCTGTCATTATACCCTGCTGAGGTCACCACAGCAAAATGACACTGTTTGCCCAAAGCCAGAGCACTCCCCCAGAGCCTCTTTCTAGATCCCGTTGTATTTATTTCCACAACGGGCTTTACTGCTAGTTCAGCTATATGTGAAGACCAGACCTTAGACAGGGACATACTGGAAAGCTTTAGCTCTAGGCTGCCACCTTTTCCCTTTCCAAGACTTCTACACAATGTATAGCTGCCCAACAGGCAGAAATTCAACTCATGCAGTTTTTCTTAGCATGAAAACGTACAGACATGAAGTGGCATATCTCAAATGTTGGCTCCCATGGAGCTTGAAGGCACAGTAATCCCAAACACAATCCTACGGACACTGCTTAGCTTTCAATATCAAACCAGTGGAGTGACCAAATGCAACATGTAATCAGGCTCCTGTACAGTTCTCAGACTACCAGATTACCACAGAAAAGGTAGGGGAGCCCTTAACAAACTCCACAAACACATTCCTTGATGTTCCTCAATTTTACACTCTCCCTGTGGCTTTTATAAACCACCACTCTACCCCACTCTGTTCCTACAAGGTGTTATATAGATTATTAACACAGAATACATTCCATTATGGCAAAAAGTAGGGAAGCATTTAATGAAAGATGTAAGCTTTAATTTTTTACAACAGGCAAAGATCTCCTTTTCAACAAATCTGTCTTTCCAGCACTGGCATGTACATCTTATGAATAGTTTTGGGGTCTTGGCAGCAGTATCTCAAAGACATTTCCATGGGCTGCTGTATCTTTTGCAAACTGGACTGATTGAAGTCTTGAAGAGGATGGTTGGATCTAGTATTGTTGGAAAACATTAAATCTGGTGGGGTTGAGGGTTCCAGGCTTTTTCTGCAGTCTATGGCACTCATTTTCAGGAACCAGAAAACTCCTTTCACAATCAGCTGATGTCACTGGCTATGAGTTTGCTAGCACTGATAGTTTCAAGTTATTCCTCTTTTGGCTCTTTACCATCAAACTGGAACCAGCTGGGACTCTTAGGGGGAAGCGAGAGACACTGACAGGAAAGAGTATCTGCCAAAACAAGTGCATGAGGTGGGGGGAAAGGCATGAGAAAGCTAAAGAGACAACCGACCTGGGATTATAACATGGGTGGATCTGGACACATTACACAAAGCAACACAGAGCTGGAGACTAGACTGCCTTCCTCCATCAGGTATGTAGCTGCTGAGAGATATGGTGGAAAAATCCAGGCAAGAGGATCCATGGGGGTTCTTCAGTAAAGGACCTTCTTTGCAGCCTTCTAAACTAGCAGCTAAGGAGACTCACCACGAAAAAGAAGAGGACCAGAGGACTGAAACCTCAGCAGTTCAAGCAGTGTTTCTGTACCTTTAATAGTTGCATCAAAGTACAGATTTCAGCAGGTGTCGCTTCAATCATTCTGTCAGCAGAGTGATACACTGACAAGCAGCCCAGCCAAAATTCTCTCTTTTACAGAACAATTAAAAGGGCCAGCAGCCCAGCTCTCTTAGTCTGCTCACAAGTAGACTAAAAAGACTGAGCTGTAACCAGCAAAATAGGAACCACACAGACTCAGCAAGGACAGAACTCTTTGTGTGCCTGTATACCACTCCTAGCTAAAACTTCTCAGCTACCTACAACTGAAACTGATTTCTTTAATCTAAAAGCCACCTTTGCTTAAAGATCAGAACATCACCTGAATCAGCCACTCAGCAACAGTGATGGACCATTTCACAAAAGGATTCAAGTGCTACACCAGTCTCTCACTGTCAGCTCTATCCTTTCTTCTACTCTTGCAAGCTTATTATTGGACTTAAGAGCATTAGCTGCACTGTCAAGCAAATGCTCATCCAATGTTCCTTAATATTATCACCTAAAATTTATATAGGCCTAACAAGATAGCTGTTATATAAAAGAATGAATGGATGTAAAGTATTTTCTCATCATTTTCTACAGGGCTGCCATATTTAAGGGAAACAATGTGAAAGGACAAGCACAATGAATAGTGAAGAGTTAGAATTCATTAAAAAAACAAGACTTAGGGTCTAAAAAAAAGAAAACTATGTATGTAAAGAAAAAGTATATATAAGAAAAAGTAGCATTACGTAGTGGCTGTTAGTCATGATATGTTTTGTGTTTCATAAACAGGCATTATTTTGTATTGCCATCCTTTTTGGCTTTCTCTTATCTAGTTCCAGCTCCTGCCAACCTAGCCGTTCGAAAGCAAGAAATTGCAAGTAGATAAATAGGTACCACTTCGGTGGGAAGGTAAGAGCGTTCCGTATGCCTTGGTGTTTACTCATGCCGGCCACATGACCACGGAAACGTCTTCAGACAGCGCTGGCTCTTCGGCTTTGAAACGGAGATGAGCACCGCAACCCTAGAGTCGGATTCGACTGGCTTTCAAGCAAGGGAACCTTTACTTATCTCTGTTTATCTTGGTACTTTCAACCTATTTTATTTATATGTGTGTGTCCATGTGCGCATGAACAATGCATTTAGTATAGGCAGACACCTGAGGATCCCAAATTATCTGAAAATCCATATTATTAGAACACTTGGGTAGGGATCCTAAAACTAGATGCATGAAGTCCCAAACACCCCAATTATTAGAAAATTGGAAAACTGGACACTTGAATACCTTTCCCTCAAAACAGAAGATGCAAAATGTACCTTCAACTGGTTAGGCTACTTCCAGAAACTTGGAATCTGGCATGTGTACGCATGGATTCAACCAGGTTTTCTGCTGATGAAAAAGGATGAGACCATCCAAATGGTAGGAAACCTGATATTTATGAAGCTGCATTAATTTTTGCATATCACATACTAGGTACAGAACTCCTGCCAGAAAACAGGCAGCAGTCTTAAATACAGGTTCGAGTTTTCGACAGTCTTTATGGTTCAGCAAATGTGCTTTGAACTCCAAATTCACCATCATCTGAATGCACTGTATGTTCCCACTCTCACCTCTTTCCTCAAATGTAATCCTTCTTTAAAAATATCTGCTTTGGTACCATATTGATCATCCAAATGCTATGGCCGTATCCAGACCACTCAGGTAAGTGAGGCTCTGGTATGAGTCCAAGAACACAGACTAAATTAGCCACTTAACTAGGTATGCCCAATACAGATTCTCACCATTCAGGTCCTTCTAGAATATATTCTCCATTGCTCAAAGGAGAAAAGTACCAAGCAGTGCTAAAAAACAGGATGTAGGAAGAACAGATTTGGATTGTGAAAGAGCCCACTATATACACAGTCCCAGAAACACTCATGTTGGTACCCAACGAACAGGGCAGAGTGTACCATTTCTGGGAGTACTTGGAAGCAAATAATTTCTAGTTTAGTCAAAAGAGAGATACATAGTTCAATGGGCAGTTCTCATTCTTGAAAAAGGAGAGGGAAAAGCCATGATAAGCCTATAGATGTCATCCAGATTAATAAACTGTGGAAGCAGAACCAAGAACGGCTCCCAGCAAGCATTTCCCTTGTTCCCTACATTTGCCATTTGCTCCTGGAGAGCTGCTTCTAACAGACATACAAGGAAGCTTACTCAGTGCTGAGCAGACTATTGGCATAACACATTGCACATTCTGGCACAAAATCCATGTTTTGAGCACAAAGGATTTTCCATTGCTGGAAAGAAACGATAGATTTTTTAGACAGCCACCAGTTTGTGGGTTTAAGCCAAATGCTTCCAACGCGGAAAGCATCCAACAGCAAATGTGGGGGCTGCTGCCTGGCATCTTATCTGTGGCTGAAGAACATGGATGAGATTCAGGAGCCCATTAAAACATACACTAAAAATAGGCGCTGGGGAAACCCGTCCTTTAAAGACTATACGATAAAGGCAAATCCATTGATATTACAAAGTCACAGACTATATGCCTTTGCATTAGATCTAAATAGGCCCAAATCAGACCAATAGTAGTCTTAACAGCCAAAATCCAGAATGTATTCCCAAAACAGGCTCTAAAATTTATACCCTGCACCATCCAGCTACTGCCCCATACCCTCCTCTTTTGATATTGTCATTTTTAAACCATTAGCTCTGCAAAGATACCATAAATGCCATTAAAATGGCTGCTGCCGCAAAAACAAACATGGCAGTACACTTTAGGAGTACATCTAAATACAGCAGCAGCCCCCAATGGACAAACCTGGCAGGCAACAATTCTGTTCCAGGATCCAGAAGCAGCAAATCACTACTCCACTCAGAACTCCCAAACCTGCCCCCAATCCCAGCATACCGCCCATGTGCCCTGCCTGCTCTCTGTACCGTGAAGTAGTGTACTGACTGTGTTCACGTGTCCCAGGATTGCAGTATATCATAATGGGGTTTATTTTTGTCCTGTGATGTTCCAGTCCGATGGAATAAATACCTACACTGGACACCCTTCATTTTAGAGCACAGCACTTCACAGCAAGGAGGTCACAGGCTTTGCTTCTGGTCGGGCTTTCCTTTCTGACAAAGACGACGGGCAGCCCCCTGCACTCGCAGGCTATTTTTAGGACGCAGAGAAAAACAAGCTCTGCCCCTCGCGGGGAAGCATCTCCTTGGGTGTCCTCTTGCAGAACGAGGGACTTAGGCAAGGCAGGCTCATCCCGGTACCTCTTGCCGCTCGGGCTCGCAGTAGCGACCAACGCATGTGGTCGTCCGCGGGGGAGCAGACGGACACACACACACACCACCTACACCAGGATGCAGAAGGGGGAGTTCGGGGGGGGGGGGGTGCCCCGCGCGGGACTGCAGAT